GGCGTGACAACAGTATCACAGCACTTACAGACGATCTCTGCTACACAGACTCTGTGTTCTGTGTGTCTGCGCCTGTCATGGTGCTATTTGGGCTTTATCTTTGTCCAATGAGAGTACGGAGACTCGTGAAAGGCAGGGTGAATTGTCCCAGGAAGTCATTGCTTGAGGTATAGTCATGGTCCTCTATTGTGAAGCGAACCAGGGCCAAGTCTGGGGCATGGACGGTAAAGTTAAAGGTGCAGTCCCACCAAGGGTTAAAGCCTGAAACGAGCATGTCGATTGGGGGTCCCAATGGTGGAAATGCTGTCTCAACCTAACTTGCACTCAGCCTAACGACAGGCTGAGAGCCGAAGCTGAGGCGGGTTTTAAGCCTCTTGACAAACCGTTACATTGGGCGCTATCACGGCTCTGACCAGACACTGCAAGGATGATGTGACACGCCTCATGTAAGGGGATCATCATATATTTAGAAAAGAGCGCTGGTGACGTCAACAGCAACTTTATGAAAATGATCAAGAAATTTGTAGCGGAGTGGCCACATAAAAAAGGTAGAGCACTCTGAAAAAGGATGATGAACGGCACAGTGGCCATCAGGGCTGCAAACGCTCTCTCCTCATTGGGAACAATTGAAAAAAGAAGCTGGCACTCAATAAAAAAAACATCAGGTGGACACAAGCCATGAGTAAGTACGGTCGGTGTTTACCATTGTTGTCAACATGATGAGTTTTCTTCTTATCGTTGTCAATGGTTGCACTGTGTATCTCCACGCACACCCCAGGGTCCACAATGGAGTTGGGCTTGTCCCATTCTGGTTTTGGCAGCTGTTGAGCTGAAATCACCTGGAAAAAAACAACACAGCGTTATTTGAATAAGAGAAAGAAGTGCGAAGCGCTCATCATTGGAATCTTGTATCTATTCCATCAACTATATTGATCCAGGATAATTAACCTAGAAGCAGTAATCATTGATCAAGTCCCAGCAACATGATATTTATTTAATTATACTGAGTCATTTCCAAGCAAAGTTTATCAGGATGATATCTCTTGAATCGCTTTGAAACACATTTAATGTTTTGGTTTGAAGCTGCTGGAATAAAGATGTTTACTACAGTGATATCACATGAGAGGGAGTGAATATAAGCACTGTTGTGATACATTCCTTAAGGTACTAAGCAGCAGGTGAAGATTTAGACGGCAGGGTATAGCCGGGCCAAGAGCCAAAGAAAATCTTTACTTTAGTCCTGTATTGAGGAAACTTTTAATCCTTCTTATTGAGAAGAAGGAGAATAAAATTTGAACTTGTTAAACATTTAGGGAAGATTTTGCACAGTCTTACCTTAACAGTGAGCAGGAGGGGTCTGTGGCTGGGACCTCCACCGACATTCTCTGGGTTGAAGGTGGTGTCAGACTGGCACATGAAGGGACTGACCGTTCTGCAGGAAGCGGCCATGGTTTAAGTCCATCTGCTCACCAGGGGGGTCATTTATCAACAGTGCCTTAGCACGGTTCTGTGCGTAATGTGTGCGTAAGAACATTCCCATGTGTGTAAATATAAGCACAGCTCTGACCATGCTTGCGCACAGAATCTAGCGGTAGAACATTGAAACAGCAAATAAAAAGCACTACGAGTGTCACAGCACGCCAGAATCAATCTCAACGTAGATGCATGTTCCGAGTTTTCTTTAATTAAAAACCCCAAATAAGTGATTTGTCTAGTTTGAAACAGACGTGTTGCCTTAATTTGTTCCAAAACCTTAAAAAGACCGCTGTCACAGGCGTTTGAAATGTTACATCATGGCTCGTTTTGCATTATTAGATGATTTGGCGAACGGTGCGCGCGTAAGGGCTTTTCAAAAGAGCGCACTGATCTGTTTGGTCCAGCTTGTTCTCTCGTGAGAGCGTCACTGTTTGATTAATTTCCCACAGAGAGCTGTGCCCCCGATGACGCTGTAAATGCACCGTTTTTGGGTGAAATTGTGGATTATTCTGTTATGCTCCAGCTGCAGATGCTTCTCGCTTTTGTGCCGTGATACATTTTATTTTTTGCACTGCGCTTAATATCAAACATCGATTAAATGTTTCTGGAAACACTGTCTCTTTGTATTTTAAGTGATGATATCCCTTTTTTAATGTCCTGTATTCCTATATCTGTGCATCTCACACACTCTGAGTATCCATCAGAAGCAATGATTTAATCACGTCAGGTTTTTTAATCTTATCTATTCAGGAAATAGAAAACTGAGTGAGGTTTCAGTACACATGGGAATAATCTCCTGTGTGTCCCAGTTAAAGACTCCACTGGTCTCAACAGATAAAGCAGCTCTACATGTGATGTAACTTTGATCCTGTTACAGAGAAGTGTCTCCTCTCTGGAGAAGGCAGTTTGTGAGGGTCCAGATCGTTGAGGGGCTTAGTGAGCAGTTTGTCTCCCAGGATGGATCGCAGGCGTCGAGCCATCACCGTGTGTGGTTCTCCAGAGACAGGATGACCTGGTACAGAGAAGTTTGGAAAGGAACCTGGTGCAAAGTCAAGAGAAAATTATTTTTTCCCCCTAACAGAATCAGGAAAAATGTCTTTGTCAGCTGATCCTATCATCAGTTTGGGTGGCTGTGGTTCAGTTGGTAGAGTCGGTCGACTCTCTACCGGAAGGTCGAGGTTTCTATCCCCGGCTCCTGCAGCAACATGTCCAATGTGTCCTTGGGCAAGACACTTTACCCCAAATTGCTCCGTCGACAGGGATTAATGAATACTGATGGTCACTTTACATAGTATCCTCTACCATCAGTGTGTGAATGTGTAGGTATGACCTGCGGTGTAAAAGCGCTTTGAGTAGTCAGGAGACTAGAAAAGAACGACACAAGTTCAAGTCCATTTACCATTAGTAGAAAATACTGTAGGAAATACAGTATGATGGTGCTTATGGTGGTTTAGAAATGTTGTCATACTGTAGTATGTGCTGACTCCATACCATATAGCATATTAAATGCTCAGCACTGTCTGCAGCACATAGACCACAGCATCACAGCTGAGCAGACAATGTTTCACACTAGGATTGGTTTACATCAATATTAACCCGTTCTTTTGCAGTCAGTGCTATGATTAAACAACACCACCTGAACACTGGCCGAGGTGTTTAGATCAACTATCAATACTTTAGCAATGGTCTGGCTTACTACATCTAGCAGCTCGTAGCAGCTCAAAAGTTGTTTTCATCTAAAGAAAAAAGACAATTAATGAAGCGTACTTACATGATGTGGTTGTGAACTTCCAGAAGGATCAGAATCTCCATAGCTGCCACAGAGAGTAGGAGCTGAAACTTCTTTCCAAGTCCGTTTTTTGCTCAAGCTAACGTGCATTAGCACCTTAGCACTACTGTGCTACCGCAGGCTGCGGCATATTGTGGGCATGCCACAGAAGTTTAATGGGCGTGCAACATGAGCTGCTGGGCTTGCCACAATGAGCCAATGGGCTTAGATCAGTGATATCACACTGACAAGACGTCACACTGGCACATTTTTTTCGAGGGGGGCTAGAACCGAGCGTTACCTGCAGCTAATGCTGCAGGTAATGCTGCAGCTAACAGGAGGACCAGTAAGACGTAGGAGAAGCCGCATTTACGCCGACTTTGAATTTTTGCAAATAGATGTGCATAAACATGCACAGGACGCATGGAAAACACACTAAAGAGCATATAAAACCAGAAAAAGCATAATATGAACCCTTTAAGTGACATTAATATTTCCCAGTGTCTCATACCGATGCCTATGCAACATTTCTCATAATTACAAGATCTTGGTCATTATTTTTTTTGCCAGCCCTCAATTTGGGAAGTGTGGTAGAATGACACCAAAAAGGACACTCAATCTCCGAGGGATTAACACACCACAGACTTTTTGGAAAATGGCTGGGGCAGCCACGGACGTGAGAACCGGCTTTCGGGGTTTGTGGGTGCAGCCATTTTGTTTTGCGTTGCTTTTATAACCAGCGGCATAACAAGGGGCATCAATCCAGGGAGCTCATTGGCCAAAGAGTCAATCGTTACAGGGCGTTGAGTGAGAGGAACAGGTAGGCTAATCAAGAGGAATTTAGGCGGACCGCCACAGTGTGGGCGACAGGTCTTCTCTGAAAACCTTGAATCTGGGTAAAGTCAATAATGATTTTCTTCCCCAGGACTAGATCTGATCCTGTGAAGAACCTGAGGAACAAACACATGTGATGTGTATCCACATTCCTCAAGTATGTGGTTAGGTACTTCTGAATATCCTTCTGGTGGACATTCATTGTCTCTGGGAAGGTTAGGGACTTCACAACCTTTCTCACAGTTGTTTGCAGGGTTTCATATACTGTTGTGAGATCAGACAAAAGGCGCGGAGAACACAAAAAACTTAAAAAATAAATTAAAATAAAATAAATAAATACCGCCAATCATGGAGATGCCGTTTTGAACGGGACTAATATTATCACATAACCTCTGTGTTTGGCAAAATATGGTAGGTAATTTGCGGTGGAATTTTTACTTCACAAATTACGGACATGGCAGATTCACACGGGATTAAGATCACAGATGACCTTCACATTTATTACAAATTACTAGAGGTCCCCAGGTAATACTAGTCCTGTGCGAATAGGGCTTAATTCTAATTTTTTTTCTTCTCCCATGTCCCCTTAGGGGCTCTGTAGAACCTGCTCAAACTAGGATCAATATTGAAGATGCTTTTGAAAAATAGAGAGAGGTTAGAATGCAGAAAGGTTTACAGACCGATGCAGAGCTGGCTAAACACTGAAGCTTCAGTGTCCACCACATGTCAACCTGGGTAAGCATTGACTCTAGAGAGGAGGGGGCGGGGGGAGACAGCTCTCTACAGTGTTTGAATTTGGACTGAAGTACCCATTTTAAACACTAGGTGTCAGAGTTACATGTTGCTCCTTTAAGACAGAACTTACCCATCTGGTTTTACAGGCCAAAGTTTATTATTCAAATACAAAGTCACTTTGAAGCTCTTTCACTTTTATAAGAACATTTTTATTGCATATCTATTCTACCATAGTGCATATATTACCTGTTTCAATAAATACATCAGGTTAATTACGGTACAGCTAGCAGCAAAAAAGCAAACAGTAACATCAGTCAGATGTAATAAATAATTGACAGTCAGTTTTTGGATTGCACAATAACAGTTTTTGTTACCATAGCAATGAGATAAAAAAAACACAACTTTGGTCCTGAAAACATAAATAGTCGTAGTTTCTAATACTGACAGTTCCTGATATATGTGAGTGCATTATTGTTGGAAACATGGCTGGGTTTGTTGACGGTTTTGGTACTAACTCTAAAATCAAAAATTTACACAATTTCTACAAAAATCTTCTGAATTCTGATTTTGACATAAATGGCAAAGCAGATGAAGATAAAACAGCTTTTCATGTTTCAACCAAACATTATCTCAGGCTGTTTGATTGTTTCGTGCATTTATCAGATACTTAAATACTCATACTATGAAATATAACAGTAAGCAATCTCTAAATCTGCTCAGCAATCATCCTAGACTAAAAAATCCTTCAAGTCATAACATAGCAGTGAGGTCGTCATGTATGTGTGAACATACAATAACAAAGTTAAAAAACAAACTCTTACAAGATCACACATCCCTCTTCAATGAAACAACGCTGTGTAAAACATGAACAGCTACGTGACTCAGAGTGATATCTAACATATAGAAACATGTCTGATAACTTGTTCAAACACTGACAGTAAGAAAGTCTTTGTGTCACAGTTGCTGGGATTATCAATCTAAACACAATGTAATTCAAAGATGAAGCCAAATAAAAAAAGAGAAGTCTTTGCTATTTTGGAGGATGTCCATATGTGTCAAGTCTAAAAAGCAACAACAGGGACTTCCTAATCCCGTCTTGTCACTAAGTCGCCTTGTCACTTCTTATCCAGCAAAGCAGTGAATTTAGAGAGGGTGTTAATTGATCAAATGTTTGCCTCAATCACAATAAGATAAGATATCTTTATTGTCAATATCATCAGAGACCGCATAGGTGATTTTGGAAGTTTGTTTACAGATTAATTATAATTTTTTAAAACGAAGGAGGGAAACCTCAGTTTAAAAAAATACCTGCCTATATGTGGACTAGGCCTCAGAAAGGTTCAATCACTGGCTTTTTCACAGATTTCAAATTTTCACAAAAATGATCCTGCCCATATAAATTAACCTTAGTATAACCTCCTGATATAGATCGACTTTCTTCAAGCATTTTCTTCTCTAAAGGTGTACCTTTTTAAAAGGTGATTTACATGCATAAAAAGTAAAATGCGTAAATTGTTTAAATACTACAAAACTTAACCAACCTTTCCAAGTATTGATTGAGTCACAAAGCAGCAGGCATTTCTAGACTATTTGGCAAATCTATGAACTACTAAATAACATTTAGGTTAAAAAAATAAAAAGTATCAAAATACAGGGATAAAGTCGAGCACAGATTTGGTCATGCCTCATTCAAATACAGATATGCAGGGAGGAGGGATGCAATTTCTCACCGATGGACCATGGATGTACATCTTATTTTGTTAACACATAATGGAAATTGCCTTAAACTGGCTAACAGAATTAGGATCGGGATGGCAGGAGTTTTAAGTTAAGAGATACTTGGTTAATTTCTTAGTATCTCTATGGTTTGTAACAGGACAGTTGTGTCATGGGTCAAAAGTCGGTGACCTGTGGACTGAATGAATGTAGCCCAAATGATCATCAAATCAAGGGGGGGGAGCCATGACACCTGTCACTCATTTACACCACAGAGGTGAATAGAAGAGGGAGCTACATTGCTTGGGCTATAAAAAAAAAGAAGAAGGCCCATTTAAAGATATCCTGTGTTTATTAGGTTTGCTCGCTCCTCTAGGTTTCACCAAAATGGAAAAAAATCTGTTGTAAGTTATTTGAAAATAACTTTATCATAAGTCTTTAAGAAAGGGGAGGGCTTAGCTTAGCCGTACTAGTTATTTCCCCTGCAGATATCTCTTTAAATAGATTACTTAAAAGCTCAAGTATAGCCCAAAGGAGGCTGATTGGTTGTTCATGGGTGCTTCAGACACCCATTAAACCCCCCCTTTTTTTGTTCAGCAGCAGGTTTTGTTTTTATACTTGATTTTGGTGTTCTGCTGTTTTCTTTTAACTTCAGACATTAAGAAAACTAGTCACTTTTCTTTCATCACAGTCTTCTTATATGATGTATAGACCAGTAGAGGGGGTAAAGCTGCAACATTTTCTGATCCCATTTCCTGGGATCTTCCCATGCTGGCTCCAATCCTTCATGTTGCTGTGGCTAAGGATGAGATCAGGGTTTCTTGGTTGAAGACTTGGCCGGGGATTTAGCAGATGATTTTGACGGACTGCTCTGACACGGGGAGACCTTGATGTGGACGAAGATTGATGCAGGCGAAAGGCTGGAGCCGTCAACCTTGAGAAGCCGGACATGACGGTAACCTGCAAAGATAGAAAAAAAGTTAGGTGAGCAATATAATCCCTGTTATTGCAACAATCTATAGTCCTTATCATATATAAAGAATTGGCAACAGAATACTTTGCCTCAGGTGAAGTAAAACGATATAGAGCCGCAGGGTGGAGCAGCTAATATAAGAGTCCTTGAACTTCCCGAGTGTTTGCCTGAAACCTACACAAGAATCTGTTCTGCCGTGGACTGAACCTACTTGAGGGAGCGTTGCAGTTTTTTAAGTAAATTTGTGTTTTTGTGTTGTGTTTTTCGTTAGCGTAACAACAGTATCGCAGCTCTTACAGACGATCTCTGCTACACAGACTCTGGTTGAAAATTTGCTAAATGTCAGCGCCCGTCATGGGGCTATTTTGGCTTCATCTTTGTCCAATATGAGCAGTTTGGGCCACGTTGTCCATTTGTATGTCTGCGATCCTTACCTGTACGGAGACTCGTGAAAGGCAGGGTGAATTGTCCCAGGAAGTCATTGCTTGAGGTATAGTCGTGGTCCTCCACCATGAAGCGAACCAGGGCCAAGTCTGGGGCATGGACGGTAAAGTTAAAGGTGCAGTCCCACCGGGGGTTAAAGCCTGAAAGGAAAAAAATAACACTTTCAGAACAGTTCTTGCAATTTTACTGTCTCAGTAACTCATCTTTTTTTGCAGTTTTTTTTTAGTCAGCTCACTTTTTAAAAAATATTTTCAATCACAACACTATAGGCTTAATGTGTTTATATTGTTAATCATATGTAAATTTGCAGCCTTTCAATTAAATGCAGTTGACTTTTTTGTTCTTGTTTACAACCATAAATATGAATGGACAAAGCCTGAGTGACTTCAACTGTCTGTTACTGCAGGGGGCTTTGGAAGCCTGTCGATGGGGGTTGCAATGCTGGAAATCCTGTCTCAAACTAACTTTCAGGCTGAGAGCTGGAGCTGAGGTGGCTCTCTACCTCTAGTAGTTTGAGGACTGGAGGTTAAGTATCTTGACAAACCAGTGTATTGTGTGCTATCAGACTCTGATCAGACCAAGCGGCAACCTCCGGTCTTGAAAAATGAAGCCAATGTGGAAGTGCAAAATCCTGCAGTTTGTGAAGTGTCCACTTGAGGCTGGCTCCAGGAGCCCAAGAAGTCACATAAACACCACAGGCAACAAAGCTGTTTTACAGCATAAATAATCATGTTTAAAGCCTGATACAAAAAACAAATATGTCCAATTAGTTATTGTCCTAACAGCACACACTGTAAGGGGGGTTGAAAATGGCTCCGTTTAGATTTTATGAATACTACGTGTTATCCATAGTTAGTCGCATAGCTGACCTGATTGACAGGTAGGCGTGATGTAACGGTTTGTTGTAAGACTTAAAACTCTTCTCCAGCTCTCAGCCTGTCCTTAGGTTGACTGAAAGTTAGCCTGAGACAGCATTTCCAACATGTCGGCTGCAGCTGATGAGCCTCCAGAGCCCCTTGCAGGAACAGATGAGTGATGTCAATCAGGCTTTAACAATTAATATTTACAGTTTATGGATCAGTGACTTCAACAGTGCCCTTCTGAAACATTTAAAGAAATTTTACGAGAAGCATTTGGAGTGGCAGCACAAAAAAGGCGGAGCACTTGTAAAAAGGATGATGGGCACTGTGCTTTTCTCCGGGAGTCCGATTGCCGCTGCAAATGCTCTCTCCTTATTGGGAACAATTGAAAAAAAGAAGCTGGCACTAAGAATAAAAACATCAGGTGGACACAGGCCACTAGTCAGTAGAGTTGATGTTTACCATTGTTGTCAACATGATTAGTTTTCTTCTTATCGTTGTCAATGGTTGCACCGTGTATCTCCACCCACACCTGAGGGTCCACGATGGAGCTGGGCTTGTCCCATTCTGGTTTTGGTAGCTGTTGAGCTGAAATCACCTGGAAAAACAAAAACAACAGAGCGTTATTTGAATAACAGAAAGGAGTGCATGGTATTTATTTAATTATTCAGAGTAATTTCCAACAAAGTTCATCAGCAAAATCAATCTTGACCAATCCCTTTAAAACACATTTAATGTTTCGGTTTACAGCTGCTGGAATAAAGATGTTTAATACAGGAATATCGCATGAGAGGGAGTGATGTTGTAGTGAATATCAACACTGTTGTGATACATTCCTATGGGTACTAAAGCCGCAGAAGAAGATAAAGATGGCAGGGTTTCACCGAGCCAAGAGCCAAGCTTTGAAAATCTTTACTTTAGTCCTGTATTGAGGAAACTTTTAATCCTCCTCATGGAGGAAGATGAGGAGAATACCACTGAATTCTACATAAGGGGAAGGTTTTCCACAGTCTTACCTTAACAGTGAGCAGGAGGGGTCTATGGCCAGGACCTCCACCGATATTCTCTGGGTTGAATGTGGTGTCAGGCAGGCACATGAAGGGAGGCTTCAGGGTGAACCCACACTGACCGTTCTGCAGGAAGCGGCCATGGTTTAAGTCCATCTGCTCACCAGGTGTCTGGAAATTCAATGCAACTGGAGAAACACACAACAGTCAACCATTCTGTCGACCACAGTGTTGTTTGCATGATGCTTCTCGAGTAATGTCAGTGGGGCATTGCATAAATGGTTTGCACACAATTAGATCCAAAAGAGAGTGAAAAGACTACAAATAATGTGTTCCTAAGAAACAACTCTTCTCTTCTTCTCTGTAAAAAACAGACTTAAGTTAGAACAGGCTCTCACCGATTTGACAGCCTCCATTCCACATCTCCTGAGGGTTGTAATTTGAGGACTGGAGTCGCTGGCCTGAGGGGTAGATCCTGCTCAGCTGGTGGCTGTTGTGACGCACAAAATGCATCCCTTAAGGGGCGAGACAAAAAAAGTCCTGTTAGTCCAGTTAAATACAAAGAGAGACTTATGTTGGGTTTGTGCTTGTTCTGCCTAAAGAAGTTACAGTCAAAGGGTAAAACACAACCTTTACTCTAAGCTTGATTTCTCTCATTGTGGATAGCACACAATCCAGCTTATTTTTCTTTTAACGTAAGTTAGGTCACATTCACTCATCACACCTGAGTCCTTAACGTGCCTGAGTGCATCACTCTCAGAGAAAGAGGACATGTCCGTTGAGGGGTTTTTGGCTGCTTGATCAAAGGTTTTGAATGGGACACTGCGGGTGTACACCACCAGCTCAGACAGCTCTGGACTCAGCTTAGACACAACTGGCTGATATAAAAAAACACAAAGAATCATGTCATATTTATAAGGAGCTTGTAAACTTCTAGCATAAAGGTGAGCTGGTGGAGTCGTACCTTCTGTTCTGGTTTCTTTGTCTTGGCTTTGCCTTCAGACTGGCTCGCCTCCTCGTCTGAGGAGCTCAGGTCTGAAGAGCTGTATCCGCCCTCCTCCACCATGCGTTCCTTTTTCCCCTTCACCAGGATTTTCCCCTTCAGATCCTGCACACACAGGCAACATATAACACACAAACACTAAACATGAACGAGTTGTCTTAAAGATGATACTTATAGTTAGAAAAACAACAAACTAGTAACCCAAGATTCAACTGGTTTGACATTTCAGGTCACTTGTTTCTTGGCAAATGTAAAAAATATAAAGCATAATTATAGACTTAATTAAACTTATAGGTCAAGAGAATAAAAAATGCTTAAAGAACAGAATCCAACCTCAATCTTTGTTGACCTTAAAGGATAAATAAATTCTGTTATAATTTTAAGTGAAGTTATTTGTGATTACTGGTGTATTTGCATTGTGCGGGGGCTTGGTGTACGGGTTTCAGGCCTTCAGTTTATGTACCTCATCAACGCCAGGCTTTCCTCTGAGGCCACAGGACTGGCAGCCAACTGATAGGACTCTGCATCTGCACTAAATCTCACTTTTATGTCACCGGCTACCATAAAACGGTCAATGCAACTATCCAACTCAAGAGTTTATAAATTATACTGCCTCTTCCTCATTTGAAATCATATTAATCCGCCTCTGATTTGATCATTATTTATTTCATTTGTTTTGGTTTTAGTCAAAAGAAGCAAAAAATAAGGTTTTAAATTCCCATTTTGAGATGAGTTGGAGGTTTTAATGATTTGTTATTAGACTTTACATGTTATTAATTTTTAATAATATAAGTATTTAATCAATTAATTCGAGACTGATTTGGTGATATTTGATTATTGTTCTCTGGTATCAGAGTGGTGCCCCTGTTTAACTCTTAATAATTAATTAAGGATAATTATTCATATTAATTTAATAAACAAATGTTACTATATAAAACACAACATAAATGTTGCCCGTGTATTAGCTGTATTAACTGCTGTTTGATTTATTTGATGTAAAAGCACTTTGTGATACATTTGTTGTATGAAAAGTGCTATACAAATAAAGTTTGATTGATTGATATTAGCTCTGCAAAACTCCTTAACAACATAAATGGTGCCTTGTGTGAGGTCTTCTATCCATATAAATGGTGCCCCGTGTGAGGTTATCAATAAACCAGGTTTATTGCACTGTTAATGCACAGATAAAACTCAGGCTGAACTTCCCGGAGAGTTCTTGACTTCATGAATAGCCCACAGACTGAAATCAGGGACCAGTACTCAGCTCTCAGCAATGCTTTGTGCAAGGAATTCTCCACCTACACCTAGACTGTATCTGCCCCTCTTAGAGCTTTAAATGTCTTGCACCAGAAGCATGAGGCCCCCAGAGAGTATTACTGGCGCCTAAAATCTGCACATTTCCAGGGATGTAATGCTCCAGGTTTGAAAGAGGACCAAACTTTCAAGTCCATTTTCCTGCACCATCTGCATGGCTGTGTACAGTAGAATGTTACCATGCATTGCCAAACACATCAGCTTAGTATGCATGAGATCAAGAAATTTGCACAGATGACTTGGGAGACATGCATACGTCCTGGGTTTTGGAGAAACAATAGTGACCTGACCTAGCACTAGAAGGCAACACAATTGCCTCATGCTATGAATAATTCTAAGAGACCATGTCACCGGCAGAATACACGACAGAGCCAGGGGGGTGAAGGATGGAGCCAGCCACAGGGTAGTTCCCAGCCTGAAGTACTGATCACCACCAGACCCCAAAATGCCTCTTATATCTCTGAACTGTTAACCCTATGGAATGCTTCCCGAAGGAACTGCACAAAACCTTTCTACCCCATCCCTGACACATGGACTGTTAGGCCCATGTGCTGCCCTAAAGATCGTAACACGCATTTCACTCTTCAGGACAAGGAGAGATATTGGACCCAGCCATGTGTGCTGAGCATAGAGAAGAATAGACTTTAAAAAAGCCTTTACATACTGTACATAACAGAGAAATTAAAGTTCTCACAACCAGATGGAGTGTGTTAGAATATTAAAATGTGTGTCAGACTGAAATATTTAAAAGAGTCATCTCACACACTAAATGTCCATCAGAAGCAATGATTTAAGGGGTGCGCGCACTAAACCCCATGTCTGTAGGCTGTAATCTCAAACTGGTGGCCCGAGTTTGCATCCCACTTGTGGCTCCTTTCCTGCATGTCATTCTCCACTCTCTCTACCTGATTTCCAACTCTATCCACTGTCCTGTCTCTCCATTAAAGGCACAAAATTCCCCAAAATGTATCTTTAAAAAAAAAAAAGAAGCAACGATTTAATCACGTCAGGTTTTTTAATCTTACCTATTCAGGAAATAGAAAACTGAGTGAGGTTTCAGTACACATGGGAATAATCTCCTGTGTGTCCCAGTTAAAGTATCCTCTGGTCTCAACGGATAAAGCAGATCTACATAACTTTGATCCTGTTACAGAGAAGTGTCTCCTCACCTCTGGAGAAGGCAGTTTGTGAGGGTCCAAACCGCTGAGGGGCTTAGTGAGCAGTTTGTCTCCCAGGATGGATCGCAGGTGTCGAGCCATCACCGTCTGCTGCTCCACGGAGCAGTGGTTCTCCAGAGACAGGATGACAGGGTACGGAGAGGCCTGGGAAGAGAAACGATGTTGCAAAGTCAAGAGAAAAAGATTTTTCCCCCAAACAGAATCAGGAAAAATGTCTTTGTCAGACGATATTATCATCGTATCATCACTTAATTGTCGACATGAAAACTTATTTTACAGAACAGATGATGCATAAAACAATACTTATGGTGATTTCGAAATGTCGTCATCCTGTAAATGTGCTGACTCCATACCATATAGCATATTAAACTCTCAGCACTGTCTGCAGCACATGGACCAGAGTATCACAGCTGAGCAGGCAATGTTTCACACTAGGATTGGTTTACATCAATATTAAAATGTAATATTCATAAAGTCACTTGTTTTTGAAAGCAGCAAGATCATCTAAAAAGAAGGATGCGTCTTATATACAGTGTGATTATACAAGTGCTGAGACATGGGCTGTCATGCCCACAGGTGCAGGTGATGGTAGATGCTGCCTGCCATGTATAGTGACCATCAGTATTAACTTATTCCATTCACACCCCCGAGCAACTTGGGGTTAAGTTTCAAGGACACATCGGACATGTGGCTGCAGGAGCTGGGGATCGAACCCCCAACCTTCTGGTCAAGAGACGACCGACTATTACAACTGAGCCACTGCCTCCCCATGTCTTTATGTTCTCTAGAAGATTAGTGAAATGATTCTGGTTTGAGTGCTGTACTCACTTTAAAAGCATACTCATTGATGGTCTCAATGACCTCGACAAAGGGCACTTTGGAGGTGAGTGTGTGTCCGTGGTAGATGACCGGCTCTCCTTTATCTCCGTCCCAGCAGTCCAGCTCCACACAGCGACAGCCATGATTCAGAGCTCTGACAGAAAGAAAACATCAGAGTTAAAGTCCAAGAGATGATTCACTGAGTAGAAGTGTCATTTAGGCCCTTGTTACTATTCTGGGCCGAGTATTTATTTATGTTGGCAAGTATCCGCAGACCATGAGACTGTGAATATCCTGAAAAAATATATGAAGGCGGGGCGTCTGAAGCCATAACTATTCCCCAGATAGGACATTCTGGCTTGGCAGCTACCAATGCTAATGAGGTTTTGGGCAAAAAGATGAAGATATTCCCTTTAAACATAGGAGTGCAAAGTCTGGACAATAGTTTTAGGGTCTGATTTTGGACTGTAGTCCGGCCAATCATATTCCAACCTTAGTTTTATGCAGGAAATAGTCCTTTTAGATGTTCATCAGGGCACCCATTAGCTATTGCTTGACAACAGTTTAACATGTTATTCATCTTAATTAGCAAATATCTGCATAAAAGCAACGTTGCCCCCTGCTGGTCTCTAGAAAGATTACAGGCTTAAGGAACTCCTGCAATGGATTTGTGTAAGAAACCAGAGACTTCATCAACATTTGAATATTGTCTATATTTGTGAAGTACCTCCCTATTTATGTCACAAAACCATATTTTTAAACATTCACAGACATGCAAAACATTGTAGAGAGCTGTCTCCCCCACCCTCTCCTCTTTAAAGTTGATGCTCGCGTAGGTTGCCATGTCGGGGGCACTGAAGCGTCAGTGTTTAGCCAGCTCTGCATCAGTCTGTAAACCTTTCTGCGTTCTAACCTCTCTCCATTTTTCAAAAGCATCTCAAATATTGATCCTAGTTTGAGCTCGTTTCTGCTCATGGAGCTTATTAGAAACATGCAGAGGCTTTTTAGGTCGGGTACAATCACTTCTATCTGAACCCGCTCTCTTGCCCACTGCCATCGCTGCAACATCTGTTGGTTTGACCTGATAACTGGTCTCATATCTGGCAAACCGAGGGGCGTCCAAAACAGCCGTGTGGGGGGTGCCTTAAAACCGCCTACCTTCTCTGGTACAAACAAATCCAGAGCATTCAGGACCAGAATCTAAAGGTAGAAGGAGGACATACTGGCTGCTGCATTGTTGTCAGAGCCAACACTTCAACATAGCATGTTTCCTTAATGTCTGATCATATAGTAAGGTCACTTTATCATTCAATTCAGTAGATATCTTACAGATTGGTCCTTTTATGATAACGATGTGATTGATTGATCACTGATTGCTTGAGATTTATTTACCCTACAAAGATAACAAAAATAATGTATGTATTTCTTTGCTACATTTACATACCAGATTCATAAATACATACATATCAAAACATTTTCACTTTCTTTCAGGTAAAGTAAGAGAGGTGCAGGTGTATGTTTGGGATGTTTCATTCTAACCTGATGTAAGGCTCTGTGCTGCTGTCCCCGGTCAGCTGATCCTTGGTGAGGTAGGTGTTGTGTGAGGAGGAGATGAAGTAGTGTGAAAGCGGATGTTTCATGTCTTGGTAAACGCGGGCGTGGTCCGGGTTAAACACACAGTTCTCCTTAGACAGCATGTACATGGTGAAACCATTGGGTGTCATGAACTGGTTCTTCTGGGCTAGAAGGGGATGAAAAAACAGCTTTCAATTAACAGATTTATTTTTTTAACAAATCTGTCTTTTTTTCTAATCAATGAGACAAAAATGAAATGTTCTATTTTCAATGTATAATTGTGTATGTGGTTGTAACTATACAGAATTTAAGACTTTTAAAAGAAAAAAAAAACAATATCAATATCTTTTTGATACCATGGCAACAAACATTTAAGTCCTAGGAACGCAATTTTGGGTCATATCTTGTTTTCAAATCATCAAAAAAGTTGCAATCAAACTTTTGCACTCTGTTGGAATCGCACAAATATTTTGACATCTCGGTACCGAAACGTTGCCAACATATTGGTGCAACTAAGACGATGTTTCCTCCTCTGCTCTCGGTATGTCAGGAATAGATATAAACGTACCATCAGTATTTGCAGACCTGTCAATTTGAATGAACCAACGCTCTTTGGTAAAATGGTAAATGGACTTGAGCTTGTATATTTCTTTCCTAGTCTTCTGACTACTCAGAGCGCTTTTACCTCACAGGTCACACCCACACATTCACACCCTGATGGTAGAGGCTGCTTTGTAAAGAGTACATCAGTATTAACTAATCCCATTCAAACACATCCATACGCTGCAGACGAAGCAGTGGGAGGACACATCCGAAATGTAGCTGCCGGAGCTGGGGATCGAACACTTGACCAGATAGGAGATGACCAACTTTTTTACAGCTTTAATATCATTCAACACTTTTGATCATTAAAATAATGGAGGTGAATCATTTTAAAGCATGTGGAATCAAAAGTAGGTTTGACACTGCTGTCTTTGGGATGTCGCTGAACCTTCTTGACACATCACACCACTCATAAAAATATCTGTGTGGATGCGATTTCACCCATGGCTTTAACTTTTGCAAATTTACGAGGCACCTAAAGGACTAGAGAAGCATAAGTGTTTATAGATATGACTAAACTTCTGTATTTTTTTTAAAGCTTCAATACCCTTCAATACTTTTGATCATTGAATCGATTCAAAGCAAGTGGTATCAAAAATATGACTTTATTATAACTTCACGATGTCTCTGAAACTTCTTGACAACATCACATCCCCCATAAAGCTGTGGGATATTTTTTTAAGGTTCATGCCTTTATTTAGAGATGACAGTGGAGAGTGTCAGAAATCAAGGAAGGAGAGAATTGGGAATGACATGCGGGAAAGGAGCCACAGGTCGGATTGGAAAGTGTGCCTCCCACTTGGAGGACTATGGTCTCTGTACATGGGGTGCACACACTAACCAGTAGGCTACCTCCTGGGTTAAGATTATGTTTCTGTGTAGATGGGATTTCACCCAAAACTGCAAAATGATTTTAGAAAGCTCCAACCATCATTTTCACCATTTCAACGCATTTCATAATTAAAGGCTTTCTATGCTTAAATGTAATAGAAACCAAGTGTAACCTCTGAAAATAACTCTGTGAGTCATGACTGTCTACAATGGGTGTAACACCCGAGTCCCACTATCTGTGATGCTTTCCGAGTTCTATCTTCAGTTTGTTTACATCGTCAGGACGGCCAGCCGGCTCATCCCCCCGCGTATAAAAGTTGTTTAACTGAGGGACTAGAGAAAAGAAGAATAACATACTGTACTGCTTAACTGTGTTTCTAGATCACGGTCATTTCGGGTAAATTTACATGCAGTGTTAAGACATGAGCATAATAAAGATCGCTAGCATTAGCATGCTAACCCAACAATGCACCACGAGTTGTTTTGGTTTCATGCTGGTGCTCAGGGGCGACATCTGCTGGATCAAAAAATCGCATAGTAAGCCTTTAAGCCAGTTTAAAAATGGTTGTAAAGAGGTCTTGGTCAGAACAACCAAATGTTATCGTTGAAATCCCGGTTAGTGCTAACTGTGACCATTTATCAAAGGTGTATTTTTTCAACATGTATTGTAACTTAGTGCCGTACCCCATTCATTTAGCTCATAGGTGAGTATGACGCTCTGGGCATGAGTGACTGAAGCGTCCTCGCCCTGGTCTTTGAAGAAATCTCTCAGGTCTACCGTGGAGAGCACACAGCCGTTAGCAGAGTAACGGATAAATACAGCATCCAGTTCCGGTCTCCGTAACAACTCCCTGCAGAAAACTTCGATCTCTTTGTGATCGAGACGACCGTCGGCTGATTTGTCACATTTCTGTCAGAGGAAAGGAGAGAGAGAAACTGTTCTTACACTGACGTCTGTCAAAGCAGAATTATCCCATAAATCACTTTAATTTAGAAAGTGAAATCCTGGACAAGAGGCTTATGTCTTAAAGGATATGTCAGTGTGTGTGTGTGTGTGTGTGTGTGTGTGTGTGTGTGTGTGTGTTACCTGGAAGAGGTTGTGTGCATACTGGTCACTCAGGTCAATATTGATCATCTGCAGCAGCGTTTGGACTTCATCATAGCTCATCTTGTCGTCGTGGTTCTGGTCGGCCCGACTCAAGTAAGCATGAATCCAGGTGACACAAATATAGTTAAGGAATAAAATAAGATGTAAGGACATGAAAGACTTTGCTGCTGCAAAAACAACAGAAAATAAGAGAACAGAAAGACGAGGTGAAATAGCACAAGCAAAGCAAAACACGTTCAAAATCACAAACGTTTGGATCACAAAGGAACCAAATTAAAGAAGACAAAAAAGGAAACAATGAACAGATCACAGTGTTGGCTGTTGCAGTAATTAAAGACTAGATATCAAAAAGAGGTTTTCGAGACTTTAGCTGTGTTGCTGCATTTATGCACTCCTGTTCTAATAGTTCAAAAACCAAAATCAGGGATGCTGGAAAAAGGGGTGCTGAGTGTGCTACAGCACACCCTAAAATCATCCATCAATAGCTTTTCTTCTCCTGGGTGATCCCATGCCACAAGGGAAATATAATCCCCCCCACCGTGTTCTAGGTCTACCCCTGGTTTGATGTGCCCAGAAGACCTCCAAAGGGAGGTGACCAGGAGGCCTCCGAATCAGATGCCCAAACCACCTCAACTGACTCCTTTTAATGCAAGGGAGCAGCAGCACTACTTCGAGCTCCCTGCAGATTTATATAATAAAATAAAATATGAATATGTCCAATTCAATGTATGACGTCATTTCCACCAAGTAAAACAGGCTTCCAGCGTCCCTGGATAAAAATGTTCTAAAAATCATTCAATCAAGTATTATAAAGGAATATATGATAAACAATACATTATACTGTTCTTCCTATACAGATGGAAACAACTGTCAGGATATTGGTTAAGTTTCTCCTTCTGGGTCATGTTCTCCACCCTCTCCTGGAGGGTGCGGATACCGCGGGCCCACTGCTGAGCCTCCTCCGGGCTCTGACAGAGCAGATCCAGGCTCTTGCGGGCCCCTTTGAAGACCACCGTCAAACAACAACCCTCTGGTATCGAGCCAAGCATCGGCCGCAGCGTCTCCGATTGACAACCCTCACGAACACACTCCACGTCCATGACAGAGACTGAGGGAGAAGAGACAATTTAAGTTAGTAAAAAGACAGGTTATCCATTCTGTTATAAACAACATTCCCCTTAAACACCATTAACACAATAAAATGTTGTTTCTTCAAGATGTTCAATACATCAATATTTTTCAATAACACACGTTTCAAAAGACAGAGAAAGCGCAAGAATGACAGCAAAAGATTAAACCAAACTCAAACGAAGCCAATGCAGAAGTACAAAGAGGTGCAGTTCCTCAAGTGTCCAGTGGAAGCTGGCTTTAAAAGCCAAAGAATTCCCATCAGATCCCATATTAATATGCAAAAAAAGAAACATGTTAACTGCCTGGTTCATAAAACACATTTGGTATCAATAGCTAGATGGACAGAAAGTTAAGGGGAGATAGCATTTTTCAATATAGTATCGTTGGGCTTCAAAACGCCTCTTTAGGAACCACTGGGTTACGTCACTGAGACAACGTCCATGTTTTATACAGTATGTGATCTTAAAATAAAAAACATAACTGCAGGACTCAAGTACCGTTTTGTGTCAGTCTATGTAACTAAGGACTAAACCGCAGACTGTAAAAAACATGGACGTAGTCTCAGTGACGTCACCCATCAGTTTCTGAAAATGACTTATGAAGCTTTTTTGACTTTTGGAAACACTGACTCATAACAGACAAAGAGGTGGAGCTGAGGCGCATCTTAAGCCTCCTGGCAAACAGCTAATCTAATCAGTTACTCCTATATATGGAAATATACGAGTAACTCTCAGTTTTCACAGAATCATAATGAGTGAGTCTCGAAACAACTAAACCCCTGTATAGTGTGTACCAAAAGATGAGTGAGCTACTGATGCCAAATTGAGGTTGTAAACATGTTTAGTTCTGCCGTAAAAGCATACATTTTAATGTGGGATCTAGTCAGGATTCTTCGCAGCCTGCCTTAAGTGGACACTTGAGGAACTGCAGTTTTTTGCACTTCTGCATTTGCTTCTCTTTTCAACACCGCTTCATGGTCTAAAGCTGCAGAACCAAAGGAAGTTTAACTCACTTTCTTGGTGTGTCATTATTCAACATGAAGGCCTCTGTTCAGTGTGTTTGAAGGTGGTGTCGTTTAAATAAAAGTTGAATTTATGAATAAATATTTGACATGCCGTCTCTTTCCGGTAACCTGTGTCCTCTATAATACTACCTCTATTCATTTATGTTCTCATGTTTGTCTGAGTAATGGTGTTCTTCAAATATTTATTAGACTTCTGCCACAACCACTATAGCTACATTGAGCTGTATTATGTAGTACTGTTTCCTCTCCACACACACGAACACAGCAGTGTCTCAACAGAACATGTTTGTTGCCGGGTACATGGCTTGGTCAAAGACAGGTTCAAAAACTGAGGATAAGTTTGGTTTTTCTTCCTAAATATGAAATAACCCAGTTTATACTGTATGTTTGTAAGACAGTTTGTAAGGACACTCTGCCAGCACTGGCTTAGAAACTCATTATATTGATGACAGTGCTGCACTGTTGATTAAAATCCTCCTAAATTTAGACAGTTTGTCGGAGAGGTGGGCTGTCTATTTGTGAAATAAACACACAGTTACATAACTCAATCAACCTCTCTGTGAGTGTTTCCCTCTTAAACAGAGCAGTTTGTGTTTCATTTTCTACCTGTTTATTTATCCAAAACACCCTGACGCTTATTTCCACAGGTGGACATTAATAATCCCACCATACACTGTATTGTGTGAAAGATTTGAGAGGGCAATGCGGTTCCTCAGTCCACCCAGACCATACATACATTTACAAACAAACAACAGATGGAGTATGTCAGAGACAACAACAAATCAGTACTTGACAGAGATGAGCGCTGACATGCTGACACCCTCTTGTGGTCCCTTTGGGTAATAACACACACAAGGGCCAGGTAAAGATGAAAAGCACAGCTTGAAGAACCAATCTGTAAAATATCTACTGACTGAAATGATAAAGTGACCTTACTATATGATCAGACATTAAGGACACATGCTATGTTGAAGTGCTGGCTTCTCTGACAACAATGCAGCAGCCAGTATGTCCTCCTTCTAACTTTAGATTCTGCTCCTGAATGCTCTGGATTTGTTTGGACCAGAGAAGGTAGGCGGTTTTAAGACACAGCCACACGACCGTTTTGGACGCCCCTCGGTTTGCCAGATACAAGACCAGTTATCAGGTCAAACCAACAGGTGTTGCAGCGATGGAAGCGGGCAAGAGAACTGGTTCAGATAGAAGTGATTGTACCCGACCTAAAAAGCCTCTGCATGTTTCTAATAAGCTCCACGAGCAGAAACGTGCTCAAACTAGGATCAATATTGGAGATGCTTTTGAAAAATGGAGAGAGGTTAGAACGCAGAAAGGTTTACAGACCGATGCAGAGCTGGCTAAACACTGAAGCTTCAGTGTCCAGTACATGGCAACCTGCGTGAGCATCGACTCTAAAGAGGAGGTGACGGGGGGAGACAGCTCTCTACAATGTTTTGAATTTGGACTGCAGTACCCATTTTAAACACTAGGTGTATTGCTACTATATGGACAACCGTGTAGTTCGACATTTGCAGGGTATCAACAAAAGAGTGGAGAAGGACAAACTGGTGTACAGAAAACATAATGAAGTGGTTTTGTTTGAGCATTTTAAAACATCTTGTATCGAAGTGTTTCTATGTATAAAAAACTTACATAACAACATAAATTAACACACTAACCCAAAATCTGTAGCAACAGAACGGGAACTTTCCAGGTCAGGTCGCGGTTTCTAAAAACCGAGTGAATCCATAAGAGCCCTCCCGTATACGTTCTACCCAGGAAAACTCAAAATAAGTTTTGGAAACCCTTTGATGGCCTCTGCAGGGGACCCACCCCGAGGTTGAGAACCCTCTCAGTGAGATAATTAGAAACGAGTAGACCTTTCCTTCAACATAGAAACAGTTCAGAGCTCTGACAGGGCGTATAAGACGAAACATGGATCTATTTCTGCGAACTTAAGTGCTACTTTCTACCCCGTTCAGAGATACACTCGCTCACACAGCCCGTCTCCCTTTCCTCCACTATCAGACACACGACTCCCTGATTATAGAGCTCATCTATTTTCAGTCTAACATGACAGCCGGTCCTGCTGTAGTTCAAACAGAGAGATTATAGGACATTACATGGTGGTGGGAGGCGGCCCTGAGTCTGTGGTTTGGTGCTATATAGTTACCATAAGACTCGACCACTAGGTCTGTATCCAAGTACAGTACAAGGCCTTTAACTGCCACAAAACTACATCTGCTTATGATGTGGCACAACGTGTGTTTAGTGTCCAGGAGGTGTGTGTGTGTGTGTTACAATATCTTCATAACCTAAACAAAATCTGAAGCTGAAGTCTAAATCTGGTATTTAGTTCTTCAGCTGAATCATCTTAATTCACTCTCCTCTGGGATCCAAACCTCCTTCTGAAAACTCCCACATAGATGTATTAAATTTGACATTTGCTTCACTTCTGCAGTGTGCTTCTTATCTCTGCTTGAGGATAGTCACTCAAGGCTACGTCTGCTCTGGCTTGCATGATTAACCAAAATAATATTCCTAAATAGGAGACAGGTCAGACATGATCAGGCTCACTCTGGCTGTCAGACTCATTTCTTGTTTCTGTGTCACTTCTTGCATAGATGACTACTTTTGCCCTTATTTTGTGGACCTAGATGTAACAGACGATGATAGGATTTCTTCTACGTCTTCTTCTGGTGTTTATTGAAGTTTGGCAAACAAGATTAGAGGTGCTTTACCACCATCTAGAGAAGGGTGGAACAATGAGAGAAGATTCAGGGCAGGCAGTTCTTCTTCAACTCAGTTTGACCTGTGCTAAAGAGAAATACTCAGAAATTGAACAAACTTATGCAACTATTATCACAAATCCCATAATTCACTTATGGAGTTGTCCTCATCTTCAATCTGTGGTTGTCTATACAATGTCCACTTGGTTTTTCTGAAATGTATTTGCCTTGAGCCGAAGAATCCTATGATGTTTTTTTACATTACATTTGTGCAATGATTGTCTCGTAAAATATCTAACATGTCCCCTCGCCATGACCGCGTTTTGGGCTAACCGGTTGATCGGTCCATTAGCATATGCTTGCCTCATAGCTTAAGCCATGCAAGTTGAAGAACACACAACCGGTCCAGCGTAATTGTGAATGTCTCATTAAATCAGTAATGCTTCCTTTGATGAATTATTTTTGATATCAACACACTTACAGGACTGTAGCTCCTTGGCTCGGCTGGAGGTTTTGTGGGACTGACACCAGACAGTGACTCCGTCTTCCAGCAGCTTCAGAGTCCGTCTTTTCTGCCATCGAGGTGAACGGACCTTTAGATATAATAAATATGTCAATTATTTCTGTTTAAAAAAAGTCTTGACCCACAACATGACTCAAGATTTGAGCGATAAAGTGTTGACCCAACAACTCAGTTCATAAGATATATTACCTTTACCATGCTGGAGCCCTGCAACATCCGTTTCACATCTTCATCATCCTGCACACCTAGAAAGCGAACAGATAAAACCATTGTTGAGGAAAGACAAATGTAATGTCTGTTCAGGAGGTTAACAGCTGATGGGCACTCTGTGGCACAGAAAAAAGGGCGGAGAGGAAAGGGAGGGGATGAAGAGAGGGGGAAAGCAGCGTCATAATAAGCATGGGTGTATATATACACATGAGTTGGACCACAGCTCCTCTCTGTAAGCCGTAGCTGGGTGGGGTTAGAGAAGAAAAGGTGTGGACCACATACAGTCTATGGACTGTGGACCCAGAGAGAGAAAGACCTGAGGCAACGGAGTGAGGGTTGAAATTTCAATTAGCAGAGTGCTCCGGTCCGTTTTGGAAGCTGTCGTTAGATTAAAAAATGACCAATAGATATTCAGCTGGAAGTTCATCTTAGCCTGAGGAGATCATGTACAGTGGTTCATGTGAAAGATGTGAAGTTTCTATACGGCAGGTTATGTTAAAGTTTTTAATGCTTTTGATACCATGTGGTTTAAAATGAAACAAACTCTGTTATCTAAATGCTTGATAGTATCAAAAAGTACCAAAGCTTTGAAAAACAAAACAGGATGACACCATTTACTAGTTGCTTATTAGCATGCTAATTATTACTGGCTGCTTATTAGTACCTTATTCTACATGACTAGAGTCTATAGTTGGCCATTAAAGGGGACATCTGAAAAATCCACATGTACAGTGTTTTTGAACATATATTTGGGTAACCTGAGTGTCTACCGTCCCACAAAATGTGGAACTAACCAATCCAGTCCTTTGTTTGTGGTCTGCATAAATCTTACAACACAGAAAAAAGTGCTCTGTCTCAAATGTACTCTCCTTGTGATGTCACAGTGGGATTCTGGTAAAAAGAAATTGCCTCCCCTCCCCTGGTATCTCCACCAATGGAATCCACCCCCAGCCTAAAACAAAACTTTTGCGCAGGTCCGCCATATTTATTCTCGGCAGTGAAGGAGTGATTTCTACCGGGAAGAAAAAGTTTGCCTAACTAATAAGCAGCCAGTATGCTAATAATTAGCATGCTAGTTAGTCAGTTAGTTAATGGTGAATATTGTAACCTTCATTTGAAGTGTTACCACATACAGGTCCACAGTAGTGCTGATCTACTGAATACTAAAAACAGCTCCAGGATAAAGGGCTGTTCGATTATGACAAAACTCATGATCATTATTTTGATAGATAGAGGATTACAACTTCAATCCTGTTGCTTAATATGAGTTACATGCTGAAACTATTTCAGAGAAACAGTGATAAAAAGAAGAGTTGGGAAAACATTTCTCTTCCACTTTTAAACTGCAGAGCTGTTCTAGTCCTGTTTTCTGTGCCCAGTGCAGCTCCACTTATCAAAGACCCTCCAGGGATTGTAGTGCCTACAGAGTGTGTGGTATTTAAGTTATCGCAAGGGTCCAGGAAAAAGGGAGCGACTGTGGCTCAGTGGTAGAGTCAGTCGCCTCCGAACCGGAAGATCTGCGGTTTGATTCTCAGCTTCTGCAGCTACATGTCCGATCTGTCCTTGGGATAGACACCTAAACCCCAAGTTTGAATCAAGGAAAAGTACATCCTTTCATTGTGTTTGCAGGCAAAAGAACACTTTCCACCTCTGAAGTGAATCTGTTAGAGTGCTGTGAGGTCTCCTCTACACGCCTGGCTGAATCCTGAGCTGAGTAAGCAACATGCAGGGTCTGAATCTGAAGCAGCTCTGTGATTTGGGAAGGGCTGGGCCACTACACTCACAAACTCCCTTGTGTGACTTACTGTAAATGAGGAGTGCAAAGCTGCAGCTGTGGGAGAAACTCAGTGGCGGTGTGGTTGTGTAATGAGCCTCTGAATGATTTTTGTTCAGCCTGTGTGATGAAACACACTGTTCTGACTGATTATTTACCAAACTATAGCAGCATCTACAACATCTGCAATGTGTCCTGATACCTCATTTCAAACTTTGATGCGTTTCTAAAACTCAAACAATGTCTGTGCCTTGACCTGTGTCAAGACCACTGCTAGAAAAATAAACGTCTTAGGCGGCCATTAATGGGCAAGTTCTTGTTTTTAATCACCCGAAATTTCAAGCAAACTCCTACACACATGTCTAAATATGCAAAAATACAGTTTCAACAGTTATTTCTTCAATTCAAACAGTGCTTGTTCTCTCTCTCTCTCTCTCTCTCTCTCTCAGTCTGTAGGTATTTTTTTCAATCTTTGTATCTTTTCATTACATTAGAACAACGGACATAGTATCATTTAAAACATGTGGTATCAAAATGTAAATTTGGTGGTGTTGCCTGCATAGGGCATAGGTGATAATCACAGCCACGGGCAGCCGGAGAACGGAGTCACAGGTGAAAGAAAGAGGACATGCAGGTATCAGAAGAAGCCACACGGTTTTTCAACCATGCATGCGATTGTACTTTTCTTTTTTTTTTTTTTTGTGCTCCTGTCATCAGTGTTTTCTTGTTTTCATTCCTACAGACTTGTTTTTACATAAACACCTGTCTTTTGTAGGTGTTTTTGCGATTATGTTTGACTAATAAAGATTTAAATCATATTCCTGTTAACATCCTTTTTTACCCACCATGCATTGGGAACGACTTCAAGTTCACTCCAGTGGTCTTTTTGGTTGTAAGATTGCCAATATAGGTCATATTATTACTTACTTATTACATATAATAATACATATATATTTTTTTATCTTGCTGTAGAACTGAAACAGTCATAAAGAGACATCAATATTAATTTTAGTCCATTTCAAAAGCAGCTGAAAACTCCTCACTGCAGCTTTAATATTTCCTCCTTACAGCTTTGAGAGGGGGGGCGGGGAGATAACGGTTCACCAGACCCATCATGTGTATTAGCGTGTGAGTGTATCAGTGTTACTATCAGAGGAGAAATGCGTCTTTGACCTCTGAACACATGATGTCTGAACGACCTCTGACACAAACACTCACCCAGATTCCTCAGGGGATCGATGGCCTTTGACTCGGACGTCCCGGCTCCGTTCTTAAGCACCGGGGCTCCTTTCTTCCCGTGTCCCAACATAACGCAAGGAAGCCGCGCTCAGACTCCCCCTCTGCCTCTCTGTGCACCTCCCAGTGTCCGGATCTTGCGTCGTCTTTGAGGCAGGAGATATGCGGTGTGGAGGATCAGCTGAGTGGAGCTCCTGCAGGAGAACAACGTGAGAGTGTGCTCCTCATAGTTTTATCCTGGAGGAGGAAAACAGGAGTCTGGGCCAGCCTTCACCCTGCTGATGTCACTGAGATTGGATTTATCACTGAGCTGCAGACGCGTCAAAAAAAACCCACAACGCACAACGGCTTCCTGATGCCACTTTCAAAATAAAAGTTGCTTAGAGCCCAAAGAAAAAAAGAACAATAAATTGATAATGTTTTAACACATATTCTTAACTCACACTCCTAGACTAGCTATTATCAAAGACTGTATAAAACATGGACGTAGTCCAGTGACGTCACCCTTTGGTTTCTGAAGAGACGTTTTAAAGCCCAAAGATAAGGGAAAGATAAGTTAAATTCAGATATATATGTATTGCAGTAGTCGCAAACGCGCGGCTTAAATACACGTGTAGGCAAAAACACTCGCTCACTCTCTCTCTCACACACACACACACACACACACACACACACACACACACACACACACACACACACACACACACACACACTATCACCATGAAACACAAGTTAACTAGTGTTAACTAACTGGGGAATTGGCTTGTGGCTTTGCTCTCACTGTGTGGTTGTGTGCAGGTGTACAACCAACATATCAAACATATCAGAAACCCATCTGTTGGGAGCAGCTGATCGGGTGATAGGGTCATTGTGAAACAACTTAAAAGTCGGGACTAGATGATAAATCATCATTCAAAATGGATGAGTTATAAAAACAATTCACCCCACTGTGTTGCCGCGTTGCCTTTACTGGACCTTTCAACCACAACTGTTTTCTCCCCCTGTGAAATAGTTATTGTCCTGAAATCAGCTCACCTGAAAATATTCTATTTTTGTAGAAATGATCTCTTTATTGACTAAATTCATAAAATAGTCACTGGATAAATGCCAAAAGACATTTTCTCTTTATTTGCACAGTCATGTTTTGATTGTTTTTTCTGTTTTGTTGCATTAACTGAAACAACTCTTTACAGAAGACCATTACCATGCTTTTATTCTGAAGAAAACTCTCATTTCCGGTTTTGTTGTTGTTTGTTTCTGTCAGCTTGACATCAGACGGATTTTTAAAGGATTATAGACGAAAGAGAGACGCTCATGTGTACAGTATGGATTAACGGTCCTCTTCTTGAGCTACTGATCTATGATAATTGTGTATATTTTAAAACTGCGACGAACAGAGCAGTAAATGAAACAGTCTTTTATCCCCTTATAAAGACTACTGTCATCTTTAATTGGGTCAATGCTGCTGCGCCTAAACCGAAAATAATGCGTGTAATTTCCATGAACTGCAGAGGTTCTCCCGGGATTTGATGGTTCCAGGTTTTTCTTGATACGTCTAAATTCTTGTCCTCAAATTCTTTAAATGACCCGGTGAGAATAAAACCCCACAAATAAAATAAATCAGAGAAAGCGATCATCAAAGTGAAGAAACAAGCTTTGGTTTCGATTTATTTTGAGGATGCCAATTAATATCGAGGCGTGGCTGAGGTAAAACAAGATAATTAAGATAAATAATTTGAAAAAGGGTGTTTATTCAAGCGATTTAAAGTTTAGTACACTGTTATTATTTGACCGAATAGTTATTATTATTTTAGGCGTCTGTCACTTTAAATGCCCAGTCAAACGCGTCCAAAAACGTGTGACGTCATCCGATACGGAAGTCATCTGTTTAGAACTACATTGCGGAGTGGCCGTAGACGACAGGGCAACCCCAGCCCAGGTAGGTACAGCAGGGGCAGCTTCACGAATAAACTTTACCGTCAGAGTTAACGCTAAAGTCGCCGGCCGGAGACGTGAGGTCTCTTAAGCTGCTTCGGTGTCTCTTATAAATCGGTTGTTTACGTCGCGCCGGAGATGTAAAGTGTCCGGACAGTCCGAGAGGTGAGACAAGTTGACAAGCTAAGCTAACTGCTGCTAAGCTAAGCCACACCGGGCTCCATAACTTGGCTGCTATGTCAGCTGACTGACTTTATTTCAACTAAAAACGCGCTTTTCTGCGTTAATGTGATTCAGATTATTAAGAGTTTGATTTTAAGGAGGTGATCCGTGTGTTGGGGGTTACATTATCTTTAAGGTAAAAAGTATTTATTTCGAGAGGCTTTCTGTGGATTAAACTGTAAACAAACAATCGTCCCTGGACGATCTGTCCCCAAATCAACATCACGAGTAATTGAACAAGTATTTGTTTTTTTGTTTTTGCCCTCATAGTTCACTGACATGGTCTTTTTACTGTAAATATGCTCAACTGTTAAAGCTGGGATATGTTTTCTAATGAAAGAGAGCATATCTGATGAACTGAAATCAAAGCATGAAAACGACATATTTTAGTTTTAAAGTAAAACAATGAACTTCTCTAAAACAGTAAAAAAAATAAAATAACTTGCATTTCTTACAAACAGTTTTTCCGCAGTGTTTACATTTGACTTCTTTTTGTTTGGTGTTGTCTTCCCTAAAGATAAAACATGTTCAAATAACAAACACTGTTTCCATGTAGGGGATTGGATGTGTTGTCACGTGACTCTGCCCTCAAAATAATCAAAATATTCATCATTAGAGGTTCTAAATGTTGGTTTCAATTCATTTTCCATTAATTTCCCAGCTCTATTGGGGAGACACATTTAAATATAATAATAATAATGATATTATAATGCTCAACTTTATATATAGCACTTATCAAAACAGTGTTACAAAGTGCTTTGAAAAATACAATAACATTCAAAGAGAAATGTGACGAAGAGAATAATTACAAGAGTTTTGAGACTAAATAGTTCCTGATTATTCAACAAGAGAGTCACCAATTAAAAGGGAATACAATGATGTAAAAAATGAACAGTAATGGCATATTTATTTATGAAGCAAATGTTCTGACATGTAAGATCAATACCCTTCACATCTAGTTTAAAAACATGAATAATTGAATTTGTTTCCAGTAGAGCCAACCGCTTAATTTGCTGATATTATCATATCACGTGGCTGATAAGTGCCGATATAAAATATAACCGGATATAACTAATGTAAGTTTATTATTGATTTCTATATAGTTTATTTCTATAATTGTTAATTTGTAATTAAACGTTAATCTTTCAGTGCACTGTTGTTTTTATGGTCAATAAAAGTTTCTGTTTAACTGTAAAAAAAATAAATCTAGTCTTTTCATAAGTGTTTGATAACAGCATTTGAGGGATCAACGCAATAAATGTTTGTGTATTCCTTTATCTGTCTCTAAAGATCGAAGATATCGGCCGATCTATCGTTTCTTTTCTCTCTTTAATATTGGTATTGGTTGGTCCCTAGTTTCCACAGTCATGAATAAGATACAGAAATCAAAACAGCAGAATCACACTCATCACAATGCAATCATCAAACACCAAACCAAAAGAAAGATACATGTAAATATAAATAAAAGCCTAATGCTCCACAAATTCTTGTTTTAAATGACCAACAATTGCAGGCAAACTTCTTCACGCTGTCTCACTTGTCAAGTCGAGTTCTCTTTATCGTCTTTTCAACCAAATATACAGTGAGATGAAATGTTGTTCCTCTCGGGCCGTGATGTAGCATGATGGTGGAGGCATGAGATTAAATGTAATGACAGTAGTCATTACATTTACATAGTTTAAAGACACAAATTGCACAAATGCTTTGGCAAATTATTGCTGTGTAATCATCTCATAAACATAATCTTTGCATTTTTATGAGATGATTACAAGACTTGAGAAATGTCCGTGTTTGCCGACCTTTGAATGGACCGCCGCTGCTCTTTCTCTCTCACAGCAGCTTTGGGTTAAAATATGACTGAAGGTCTGTTGTTTTCTCAAAACGTCAGTACTTTTGGATACTATCGGTCAACAAGGACACCTATTAGGGAAAAGGGGGAAACTTTCTGAGGGGCCCGTTAGGGTTAGGTAAAACATGGTCATCCTAAATTTAAGCAATCATAACATATTTTTTGTAAACCTATGGTAAATACTCACACAGAATTGAATTTCCCTCTTCTTAAAATGGTCTGAACCCTTTTTCAGTGACATTAGAGGGGTGGGCGAGCCCATTGAACTTAACTGTTAGGCTAGTAATGTCCTGCTGGGTGAAGCAACACCAGGACCTGCAGTCAGGATGCTAGAAAGAAAAGAGGCTGTAAGGCATTTGACCCCAAAAGTAATTTGTTAGAAAACGTTTTTCAGAGGCGGCAGATGGACACAGCTCCTGGTACAGGCTCTTGTGATCTTATCACACATTGACTTTTGCAACTCTCTACTGGCAGGTCTTCCTAAATGCACTATCAAACCCCTGCAGATGATACAAAATGCAGCAGCACGACTGGTCTTCAACCTCCCTAAAAGAGTCCATGCCACTCTGCTGTGGGGCCAGGGGCCCAGCCATTCCTGTGGGCGGGCCTGTCAGTCAATAAAAAACACGTGGTATCAAAAAGTATTGGAACATTTTGACAACCTTGACATGGAAACGTTAACAGCTTAATTTTTATTTACAAGTTGTATAAGCAGAAAAAAGTCAACAGTGTATTTTGAAAAGTAATGTCTCCGCCTGTTGTGGTGAAAACAAACAGTTTTTTAGATATTGTGGAAGTTTTGAAAGTCAAGTCTGTACATTCTTGAATCCATTTGTTCCTCTCAGTCTGACTGCGAGCGGCGATCAAACAGCAGTCAGCTGATCTGTGGAGTGATTTATTAATCCTGCAGGCAGCTAGCGGGCAGCTGATGCAGAAATCACTATTCTTTTAATCTGAACATGGATTACAATCAACTTGACAGAGATAAAAATAACATGTGCAAAATATCTGTTTAAATTTACTTTAAAGATGAATGCAGCATATATTCCATTAAAATCAATTTTTGTCTTTTGTGATATGAATGAAGACGTTGACACCGTTAATAGCAGCATAAAATAAACTGGGGTATAATTTATTAAATGTTTTAACACTCGTCGATTCCTTGATGAGAACCTCCAGCAGCATTATGTAAATAACATGAACAGTCTTGATTGCTGATTGGACTCTCTTAACAGACTCTTCCTGTATTTGGGTTTTGTCACCTCA